CATCAAGCAGTCTGAGATAATAGAGCAGCCTGACCAAACCCATGAAAGCCACCACAGGCTTCAGGAAAGGATATAAAATAACAGAAGAGATAAAATGCAGTTTTAGATATTTTATAATTTTTTTTCATAGATATTGGAATAGAACCAAAGAAGAAAAGATATAAACGAAGGAAATGGGCCAGAGGAAAGAAGCAGGAAGGAATACTGGTAAAGGCAGGGAGGTAAAACTGTCTAGCAGATGAGAAATTTGGCTGAGGTCCAGTTTCACTGTATTAACCAACAAGGGAAGAAACAGGAACTAGAGCTGACACTGACAGCAGGAACAGAGATATTAATGAAACCAGCAACTCATTTCTAAGAAAAATTGAAAGATTTAAGAGAGGCCATATCTGTGTCTATTGCAATGTTAAAGAGGTTGGTAAGTGTTTAGTAAAGCTGAAGAAATCCACAGTTTCAAGAGAGTGGACATCTGAAAGACAGAACTCTGTGTTCATAAAAGCAATGACCTGTCAGTATAATCAGAGGACAATACAATTTATGAAATACTGTTCATTCTGGTTAGCAAATGCTGAGTCTGAGAGACATGGCAGGAGTTTTTATACTAATGGAGCAGCATCAAAGTGGGGTAACTAGATCTTCTGGTTCCTGACACAGAGTTGTTAAGGGAGTCAGAAGGACATTGAAATAGCCATCAGACAATAATACAGCATTAATAGGTGGCTGCTTTTTAGGAAGGCCAAATGAAAGATAAAGGTGATGAGGTGGCACTGTACATTAGTGCTTTAGCAGGTTGTGAAGAATAAGAAATGATAGTGATGACAAAATGGGGCATGTATCAGAAGCATGTCAGGAAGGACTGTAAAGATCTTACTGTAGCAGTGAAAAATGTCTTTTAAACAGTCTGTCATGGTTTAAGCTCATCCAGCAACTAGGCACCATGCAGCTGCTTTTTCACTCCCCCTCCCCACCCTCAGAGGGATGGGGAGGAGAATCAGAGAAAAAAAGTAAAACTTCTGGGTTGAGATAAGAACAGCTTAATAACTAAAATAAAATAATAATACAAATATAATAACAATAATAATAATTGTAATGAAAAGGAATATAAGAAAAAGAGAGAAATTGGACCCAAGAAAAGACAAGTGAGGCACAATGCAATTGCCCACGACCCGCTGACCGATGCTGGAGCAGCGATCCGCCCCTCCCAGCCAACTCCCCCCAGTTTATGTACTGAGGATGACGTTTCATGGTATGGAATATCCCTTTGGCTAGTTCGGGTCAGCCGTCCTGGCTGTGTTCCCTCCCAGCTCCTTGTGCACCTGCGTGCTGACAGAGCACGGGAAACTGAACAATCCTTAACTTAGGGTAAGCGCTCCTTAGCAACAACAAAAACATCAGTGGTTTATCAACATTATTCTTACACTAAATCCAAAACACACTGTACCAGCTACTAGGAAGAAAATTAACTTTATCCTAGCTGAAACCAGGACACAGGCACAGGTTCATTTTGTAGTGTGAGTCACTACACAAATAAATGTGGAAGACAATAGAGAAATTACCCAAGTACTATATTAACAAATCCTCTCTTTTTAATAACGTTGGTTTTGATGCTCTAAAGTATAATGTTGTTTAAAGCACAAGTGCATTGATATGAAATGAAAACATAAAGATGAAAGCTGAACTCAGAAAATATAGCCTGATCAAATAAAAGGGTAGAAAACCTCACAGCCTGAAGTACTGATGTTACTACTGGCACTTGGTGTGGCGAACCTGATGGCAGAGATATTAGCTTATGTCTCACTTTAGGAATGGTATCATGTGTTTCTGGACAACCGCAAAATAACAAATGTATGTAAAGAAAGCAATTTAACTATTAACAGGTTGATTAGTCTGACCTCAACAGCAAACAGGACCTTAGAACAATTTTTGAAGAAAAATTGTTGAAGAACAGAAATAGAGTAAGTCACTAGAAAGAAGGATAAAATGCAGTAGATACTTACCAAAGGGTGCCAGACTAATTTGCTATCAACAATATAATAAAAATAAATCTATAAGGCCAAGGAAATGTAGTGTATCAATTGCTCAGAGCTCAGGGAAGCAAGTGATATGGGAAATACATGAAATTAGACAGGATGGAGAAAATATGTGTTTTGGTAGAAACTTTGCTAAGTGTCCAAGCACTAGATACAGAGGAAACTGCAATTTGCTGGGCTGAAACATAAATGATTAGCCTAGAAAAAGGCCAGTGAACTGCCTCCAGTGTAATTTCTGAGACTTTAACATTTCCACTTGTTTTACGTTATAAAGTAAATATGACTATTGAATTAATAAAAATTTCACGTGGCACATTAAACATCACTGAAGGGAGGAGAATGGATATTTAGAAAGTTTCAAGAAAGAAGGATGGAAAAAGTATGATAACATTTAATACTGAATGCATAATCTAGATCCTTATGGCCTAGTATGAAGAATTATTGATATAGACCTTGTACTTGTTAATTGAAAGTGATATTGAGGGAGAATGACTGCTAAATATTGTTTATCACAACAGACTATCGATCAGCACTGCAGCATGGCTGGGAAGAGTACAAATTTGATCCAAGGTCTGAAAAAAAAAGCATTGTTAGCTGGAAAACAAAAATACTAATGCCAGCCTAAGATCTTACCTGGAATAAAATCCTGGCTGGGTGCACTCAAGAAGTACGAATTCAAACAAGAACCACTGCAGAGATGAACAACTAACATTATCAGGTAACTGGAGGTTAGAGAAGATTTCTAACTTCTCACTTAGAGAAGAATTTGAAAAAGTTTACTCAAATAATAGCTGTGAGGATATGGTGTTATCTTATTAATGTTTTAAAGTGAAAGAAGAAAAATTGTTACTTGAAGCTAAGGAACAACACTAGGAGAAGGATAAGACCATACAATGTTTGTGAATAAACATGGAGAATTAGGTGAATGTTTTCTATATCAGAAAAATAACTACCTTGCAGTAATGAGATTTGAAACCCAGCTTTTTTAAAAATGAAACTAAACATATAAGAGATTACCTGCTGTAAAGAAATGGGAATAGAAGGCAGTTTAATTCATTGCCTCAGGAGATCCCTTTCAGCTCTGTGTACTTGACTACACAACATCTGTCCTCACCTTTTATAATTCCAAGGCATTCCAAAGCATGCAATGCAGGAGGAGTTTAGCTACACATTTCTTGGATTTCAGCTGTGGAGAGTGATGCTTCAGTCCTTAATATAATATAAAATACCTTTTGTATGAAGCTATAACACATGTGTTCCACAGGCTTCCCTGATTTCCAGCTCGCTTCCAGGTGTAGATCATTGTATGTGTTTATGCAGCACTGGGCAGAGCTGAATCCCAACCCTGATGGGATTCCACAATGCAGAGAGGAATGAAGAAAATTTATAGAAAAAATACCAAGTTCCAAGCAGTTTTATTCTTTCTGATTTGTGGTCTGCGCATTTCAGAGCCTGAATCAGTTGAGGTACAAAGCTCATGGTAGAGCTCAATTTTAAGCTTTATCTAGCTTTCTTTGAAGTAATAAACCTCAAGGTTCAGACAAGTTTTCATGGGTAGGAAGAATGGTCCATCCTGAAACTTCTATCAGCTTTGAACTATTTATCACTTGCAGACTGCACTGTATACATGCTGAAGGACTAGTAATAAGCAACATGTATGACTTGCAAATTACACTAAACTGCTGACTAAGCAAGTTTAACATCATGGGTTAAGGAAAAATAATTTTGATTTGGTTTAATTATTTCCACTAATTTAATCTTCCAAAAAGATAAGATAAATAAAGTTCAGAGATAATAAACTGCATTATAAAAGGAAAGGCAAACTGTATTTTTATTATACATAGGTGTCAAATTTGAAATTTACCCTCGGGAACCCATGTTCATCATCTCACAACAGTGATAGGTCTTCATTTTGATATAACACATTCATTTGACCTTCATCCTGTAAGTTTCCTTAGAGTGAAACCAGCTATCTGTTATTCCTTATTTGACCTTGACAATCCGAGTGACAGTTTTAATAGGTGCAGGTACCTTTAACTTCTGTGACTTTCCTGTGAACTTCTAAATGTTCAGGCTTTCTTAGTAACCTGCCCTAACTTGATAATTCATATTTACACAAACACTCAAATAACACAATTTGCCAGCTGTTGAGAGAAAGGATTCAAACTTTAAAGAGAGAGAGAGAACAATAATTCTGTGTTTCTTGATTTTGCAAGATTAATTCTAGCCAGCCTCAAGAAACATATAAATGAAAGAAGGAAAATCCCTGTTCGTTCTGCCTGTCTTTACTGCATAAATCCCCTGTTTTTTCTTATACAGGATGACCCTCAACGACTGAAGCTGGGACTGAAAAAACAGCTGCATTGTACTGCAGACTCAAATCCTGCTACAGCTATAAGCTCTAGGATTCAAACATGAACCGAACAGGATTACGCAGAAGGCCAGTATAATACTTAGTGCGAATTAAAGGTATGAGGGAAGACACATTTCTTTCAGGGTAAGCTCCCTTTTTTTTTTTTTACTGGTTTAAATTGCTCAATTATGATCTCAGATGTGCTGAGCCTTTTTAAATAATAAATAGCAATACATTTCTGTAATGCTAAGAACTATGTATGACAGTCTTCTTAAAATCAAATATGTTCTACAATAAACTAAAAGTATTTCAACCCACTGCAGTTGCTTATTTAGGATGCATGCCTTTTTTCTTTATCTTAAATCATGCTCTACTTTACTCACTAATCTTTGCAAGGTTGTGACTAAGTGTTATTAAACAGTGCAACTTTCATTTTTTTTACTTTCCTTAGGAGTAATAATAATGCAACAGAACCAGAAAAGGAAAGGTTTGATCACCAGTAATAATAGTATTTAAAAAACAGTGCAGCAGAATAAAAAATTAAGGATCATTAAGCACATTATTCTGTTTCCTTCAGCAATCTGAAGATACTGGCATTTTCTTACGTATTTCCTTACCTTGAATGTGAATAATTCTTTCATGCTCCAGACTTGAGTTGTCAGGGTGAGGTTCAGCCCAGCAGACAGAAATCAGCACCAGAAAAAGTAGACTCTTCATCTTTATAGTCAAAAGAATCTTCTTCACTGTAAGGGCATCACAAACAAAAAAGCTTGTGAATTTTTGGAAACCTTTACAGTGTTGCACTGCACAACTTGTTACAGCAATGATCTTATGAGGGATCTATAACACATCTAACCCACTCAGCTGAAAAAGTTACAACAGCTACTAATTTTTTAGGCATGAAGACTAGACCTTTTTAACATAAACTTACATTAAATGAATCTGGCAATCCATATTTAAGTCTGCCTATGCAGAATACAACATGAAAAAATAAAAGCACACACACAAATACCCATAAACCAAACTCCTTGCATATGTAAGCAATACCTGTGTTTCAGAAAAGGTTCTAGTGTACTTTTCTTTTCTAGACCTACTCTACATCTGGTCTGTAAATACAGTTAAAAGAATCAAAGCTATCACTATATCTACATCCACTGCATGATGCAATCCACTGGTGATAGATTTTTGAGATTAAAACAATCTTCTCGGAGGTTTTGGCATTTCAATCAAGACTGCAAGTTAACTTAGCAGTCAGGGTGGTAAGTTTGCTTGAGCTAAGCAGTAAAGATGACAAAACATTTCTTAGGCTCACTAGAAAGATCTACTTTATTTCAGATCCACTTACCATTTTAAAAGATGTCTAAATACACAATGAAATGTTCGAAACCATGCACAAAATAGGTTAGAGTTGTATATGCTACCACTGCAGTTGCCCTGATTGATTTTTCATTCATTTCTACCTAGAATGCTGACGCACTAACTTAGTGTGCCAGGTAGGGTCTCTGCAGTCAGCAGAGCTGAGCGCTGCAGGGAAAATCTCTGCCAGCCTCTGAGTAGTAATTAGGCAAATGAAGACCTGAAATAGAAAAGGAGGCATAAAATACAAGAGGTTTTATGTACAGGGTTGGGGCTGCTGTGTGTTTTATAGTTATAACTTTTATGACCCTGATTTCTTGAAATAAAAGATAACTATTTCCCAGCTTTGCCTTTCAAGAGACTATATTTTTTTCCCCAGTCACCAAATAGTGGCAGCATTATAAATATGCTTTCTCGCTAATGCAGACAGAAATTTATTTTTTTCCCTTTTTCTTTATCAGAGCTAGAAACACATCAAAGTTGCAGGGTACTGTTGGTCAGAACCTGGGTCAAGGGCTTTGCAAACAGTCACTGTCCCCAGATAGACTTAGACACCTATGTGTTTCAAGCCTAGATCCAAATATTGTAATCTGAACCAACCTCTATTACAGACTAAAACGCAAAAATGCTATTGCCATTTTTTCATAACAGAACATGCATTTACTTGCCTGCCCTTCCATTTCTTCAAAGTGAGTTTGGGTGGGAGTTCAAAGCCAATTCAGCATCCCTTACTCCTTAGTGTGGAGTGTCTAGAGGTAGGACAAGTGCTCGCTGCACACTATTTTCCAGGTGGTCCACGCTCGGTAACTCAAGACTCTCCGGCCACTCCCTCTTTCCTGGAAAGCTTGGCAGGCTGATGACCTCCATTCTGGAGAGCAAGGGCAGATGTGGCTCCGCCTAGAGCACATCAGCCCCAGCCTGGGCTGACCGGAGGGGTCACGCAAGTGCAGGCGGGGTCTTCCTCCTGCATGATGGGACCACCGGCTCAAGAGAGCAGGGCACACCTGTGTAAAACCACACTGCTCTTTCTCTCACAAATCCCAGACCAGGCACCCGGCGTAGTTCCTCTAAGAGTGAAAAATGCTTCAGGTTTGGGATTTGGGTTTTTTCTTGGCTGTTGAATAACAACTGAGAAATATTTTTTTCTTATTGGTGGGGGATAGTGTTATTGATTTAGAAATACTCTGGTTAACAAGGAAGCTTTGATTCTGAAGGCAAGTTTATGGGGGTATTCCCACCTTAATCTAATCTGCAGATCAAAATGCAAAACCTCCTGGACACAGTCAGTGGGGGTAAAGCCCACAGGGGTTCTACAGACCTGCTCTGGGAGTGACTCATCTGCTCATTAACACTTTGCCTCTTCCTCTTGTCACAAACCTGCTCCTCTGCGTGGCACTAGGGAAAAGAAACAGCCATACAACGAGATGACAGGTAGTACTACCCTTTTTTGGGACAGCATCCCCTTCTCCCTCAAACTCTATGTGCACAAGGACTGGGGCTCTACTGTGGAATAAGAAAGATTTACTTTCTGGTTATATGGCTGGAGAACCCCACACATGCCCCTCTTCTTTGTCAAGGTCTCCCTAATATGATGGGGGAAAGTCCTCCACGTAGCATCATCGGGTGATGATTGTCAGAACAACTGGTTTCAGGATAAGCCTGGTGCACTGAGTGGGCAGGATATACCTTTTAGAGATATTTGCCTGTACCTTCAGGCAAATATCATGTTACTCTATAGAGTTTATGTGATAGCATCGCACAAGCAGGATGAAAGGCAGGTCAGCTATGACTTGGAGATCTGCTCTTCCTTTTCCTGAATTTCCTGGATGCAAGTGAACAATTTCATATGTCACATGCCACAAATGTGGTACAAAATCAACCTTAGGGTTACAGATGGACATGTTTTCTGGAGGGATATATACCCAAGATGGTGGTACTTTAGCTTTGTTAATAGGCAAATTTTACGGTGGCTGGGTTTCTTGTTTTCCCTGATTACTATGAACAGAAAGGGCATAGTAAAGTGTTCGTTGTCTGTGCAGGAGCACACACACAGATAGCGTATGTGTGCACATCTGTGATCTTTGACTCTGGTAATGTTCATCTGCACTGCTAAGGTGTGTTTGTCAGACTGCACAAAACTAGCAAGAACTTAAAAACTATTTCCCAGGGGAGCAAATGCCTGGTCAACGGTTTAGAAACTGTATCCATCACAAATCTTTGCTTAAGTCACCAGATGCTTCATACCTGAGGTCAATCAACTGAAAGTAAAGTTTTAGCTGGGCAGAAGCGTCCCATTGGGGGCCATTTCAACCCTCCATTTAAGTCTGAGCAGTTTTAAGGCTTCTCCCTTTTATTGCCATGTACAGCAGTAGCTGAGAAAACGTGGGTATCTGAAGTCAGGAATACCCCGACCTTGTACCACTCTTTTCCTGGGATTCCCCATGATGGGAGCTGTGGCATCGAGCCAGAGCTGTGCAAAGCAACACTACCAGGCCAAGAATCTGACCCCTGGTGTTTTGTAGGTTATCCAAAAAGCAATTAGGCAGAGGAATTCACATCCTCAACTCTAGCCAAAGCAATAGAAGTCAGACTCCATTTCTGCAGCAGCCTAGGAAGACCTCAGGGGAGAAATGATAGGTGTGGATGTTTTCATATTAAAATTAATAAAATCTTGGCTGGGAGTAAGTGAATTTTCGGTAAGAAATTGTAATGATCAGTCATACTCAAGAAATTTGCACTGGTTTCAATTACTGCAGTTTATGAATCTGCTATCTCCCTGGACAGGGATACAAAGAATCTGAAAAATAGTTTTTAAAGGGAGACCTCAAGGCTGAGGGAAGTGGTCAAGGTCACTGTACATTCAGTTTTTAAATTCTTAAGAACTGTTCATTATTAGATACAATTTGAAATTCTGATATTAATCACTATTTTTTCATACCTACCCAGGCATAGTTCATCTACTACTGGCAAATCTAAAAGGCTATAAAGCACCAATGTTTGTATTTTAATATAATATTCTGAAAATTAACAAATTGCCTTCAAGTAATTCAACTGCATAAGTAACAAGCACTTCTATGAAGAACAGAGTACTGAAAAATAATGTTACATACCAATCTCTGTTTTTAATAAAATAACATATTTCTTATATACTACTGCAACTACTTTCTAGCTACAGAACATGAGAGCATCCACTGTGTGAGGACAAAGGTCCACCTAGCTCAATATTCTCTCTGGCAGCAGCTAAAAGCCTGGGGAATGCTTTTGTTCACTGGAGTTAATTTTTGTCTTATATTAAGCCATGGTGATGTCCTATGTCAAATGCTTGTCTCCCTGAGAAGAAAGACCTATGGAAGCCTGAACTCACAATGGCTCAAGAGCATATGGTAATACAACCACCACCTCCTACAGTCCAGCTGCTGACACTGTCATCCTAGTAAGATAAGTGCTTAAACTAGATTTTACCTAACACATGCAAAAATCTGGCTGCTTTTGTGGAAACATCTCTGCTGCTTTTGGATCTTGCAGGACTGTGATTTGCTGACAGCTACCCAGGTATCCACAGAACCCTCAGAGAAGAGGGTATTGAAACAACATACTATACCATCTTCTCATGTGTGTAACTTCATGGTGCAAAAAAGGTTTAGGAGGAAAGAAGGCCAAAAGCAGACACCTAAGAAGGAGATGAGGTACCAGTGCACAGGGACAGAGAGAAAACCAAACTCCTAGGGCAGACACAGGGGACTTTTTCATAAAAGGTTCTGTCTTTCTGTGGAGTTCCCTATATTTAATACAGTGAGACCCAGCAAGTAAAGGCAGTAATTGATATCTAAAACAGGTAACAGAATCAGTAAAATCAGTTTCAATAATTTAGGGTTGAAATACCCCCCAAATCTGTGGACTATTCACATCCATGCACAAAGCTACTGTGTAATATAAGCCTTTACAGGGCCCTTCTCTGTGGAGCTCTGTTCCATCTGGGAATTGGTGCTAAGCACTAGAGAAGTACCTATTAATGAAACAAAACTTATGTATTTTCAGAAAGAGGGTGTCAGCTGCAGTAATTCAGAGTCTCTCATCCTTACATGCTGCTGGTAGATAATAGAATAGGATGAAGATCAGTCTAGGCAGTACTCACACACTCAGTGTTTTTGTATGTAAAATGTTTACATTTCACTTAGGAGCCCAAGCTATTGTTACAGTCAGTTTATACCTAACCAATGTGGTCAGTGGAAGGTGGGTGTGTGATTAGTTGACCTAGGATGCCTTTCGTCTATTCACTTTTGTCTTTGAATAACTTCCTCCATCTGCAGTGTTACCTCTCCGGAGAAGTGGGAATTGTGGGCTTCAATCTTGCTCACTGACGTGGAGGAAACCTTGTGTG